ATGTATGGTATTCTCAATGAAGTAAATTCTTTCAAAACATTTGCAATTTAATTTTAGTATTAGTATAAAAGCTAAAGGATAGTAGCCTGCTCAGTTTTATTAGTATACATTAAACTAGAAGAATGAGAAACTGAATTTTATACCAAGACAATGTAATTTTCACCTCACTAGTGTAGTCCTTGTACTATGGCATAGATAAACTAAAAGAAAAGAAAATTGTAACATTTTAAATGTGTTTTAAGTTATTCAAGATTAAATGAACAGGTAGATAATAGCTGGATAATGGTAAATGATCATATACACAGATCAATACATGTACATATTGCAAAATAAGGGGTTATATCAGCAATACTCAGACCCCAGATTAGTACATTGTATATCTTCCTTGGGCATTAACACAGGCCTGTACACTTGCATGGTGAACACCATTCAGCAATATATTATTCCACATGTTGATGTGATAAGTAAAGAGTTATAAGTAAATGAGGAGTCAGGAATTATCTCATCATGACTCATTCATATTCAATGGGGACAAGTCTAGTGAATATGCCAACCAGGAAAGTTGTTGGATATCTTGCAGAACATATTGAATAGCATGGACATCATGTGGGCATGCATTATGCTACTGGAACTATACACCACTTTCCTATTATAGAAATGACAAGTTAAACACATCTTGGGACAAAGATGGCATAGTTCAGTATTACTTCTACAGCACAAAAGGTTCATATGAGTTAACATATGGCACTCCATACCATGAGGACAGAGATTAGGCCTGTGTTTTGTGGGTAAATTCACTCTAGTGGATGTTGCTCCCCAGGTTGCACACACAAATGACCATCATTTTCATGTAAGTAGAACTTGCTCTCATCACTGAGCAGAAAACAGCATCATTCAATTCTCTGGGTGACCCTCTTGTGACACTGTAGACATGCTTGATTGTATTGTGGCATAAATAGAAGTCTGGCAAGAGACATGTGTGCCTATAGTCCTGCTTCAAGTAACCAATTACCAATAGTTTATGTTGAAACTTTAAGGCCACATTTATTTTGTTTTCTACTATGCACTTCATTGCTGCGCTCTGACAATGCATCAATCTTGGTAAACATCACACAATCATCAAGAACTTGTTCTACAGATTTAGTAATGTTCATTTGATCACTGTTGACAACATCAAATCATCACTGATGTATCATATCTCCAACATGCATTGCAATTTTCTGAAATAGCCATGTAACTTGTTAAATAACCATAATACTATCCTTCTCAAAAAGTTCCACTTGAACAAGAGTATATGTGTTTGCTTGCACTGACCACACCTTCACCATTCTGAATCCTATCACAATGTTAATCTCAGATACAGCTGGTTCACTGGTATGAGTGTTACTACATCACAAGATAAAAGAAGATTTTGAAAGTTCTATCAAAATATTTACAACCTTGTAGCATTCACATACTGCGCACAGTTTAAAATCATTATCCTCCTTCAAGGTATTGCAATTTTATTTTCCATCAGTGTATTTACCGACATCTTCTTGCTAAAGCTATTACAATTAAATGAGGTGTTTCTGTCGGACCCAAAAGAGAGACCATCTCTAAAATAGTTATTAACTACTTTCCATCACATATTGTGAGTGCAAGCTTTTAAATGTGTCATTTAAAAATTACTGCCAAACTTTAATTTTCTACTTGAACAAGAATTTTCCATCAATTTCTTGTCTAAAAACTTTCTTCAAGTTCTGCTAATGTAATCAGCAAGAAGTGCACTTTTAATAAGTATTCTTTAATTAAAATGTAACTGAGGTTTGAGTAATGCATACACACAGGTGCACCTACTAACATGTAACCAGCTATTGTGATGTAAAAGTGATATTTCAGACATATTTCTCTCTCAATTTAAAACCATGCTTAACTAATAGAATTCATTAATAAAAAGAAAATTTTCATTTATAAGACATAAATTTAAAAAAGAAATTACAAATATGCTTTTATAAGAGACTAAAATTACAGACTTTTAGATTTATCTAAAGTATCTTGCAAGAAATAATCACATTATATTATAGCCTCATTAAACTAATAGCAGATTATAATAAGAATAATAATCAAAATTTTACAAAGATTTTTAGCTTATACTTGGTCAGTTTGAGAACTTTTCAGTAAGCTTACCTTGTAAATATTGAAATCTTAGCAACATCAGTTATGCTTGTTGTTAATATTTTATATTTTTTTAAAAAAATCTGAACATACTTTTGGGTTATAAAAATACTAGACTGATAGCAAAGGGAAAGGGGCTCTGCTCATTTCTAAATGTTTTCAAAAATATCATTGCTAACACCAAAAAATATAATTTTAAATATTTGGTCTGACATTATGCCAACAAGTAGAGTTCTTAAAATAGGCATTTCAAATACATTATTAACCCATTGTTTCTGGATGACAGAAATTTCTGTCATTGTTGTTCAATGGCTCAACTATGAATGACAGAAATTTCTGCTGCATTTAATGGGTTAACCTTTCCAATTTAACCTATTATTTTCTTAGTTGATCTCACTTCATTGATTATGCAAATGTGAAACTGAATGAAAAGTTCTCAGCCCAACCCAAACATCAATATTTATTTTTTTAAATTTCTTCTTGATCAGGCTGAGAAACTTTTAGCATCTCCTTGTAGTGATTGTTTCAATATGAAATTGCTATTTCTGTTTTAAGATTGATATTTTTATAGTTTTTTTTTTTAACTATGGTATATTTTTAATTGAGGTTTTATTTTTAAGAAATAGCATTTGCTGACGATCCATCAAAATTGTCTTTTCATTGCATTTGCCATATTTTAAACCAAAGGAAGTCTTTCAAGCAATGATATTTTTTCCGCATTATACTTGTATGATTTCAAGTTGAACTCTAACAGAGCTGATTACTGCAAGGAATATGAATCTTACATTTAAAAACAATTATGTTAGGGAATGAACTGTAAGATCTTGATTGTAAAACTTTTCAAGAGAAAGTTAGTAATGGAAAAATTATCCAAAAACCTCAATCAGTGAAGTTTCAGTAAGCTTCAATGTATCAATTGCAATCTTCTGAAATTATCTTAGAGCAATTCTCAAGGGGGAAAAAAAACTTGTATGAAAAATAAAAATATCTGCGGCATAGAAGTTTGTATTAATCATATTCAAGTTGATGAACTTTTGTATTATATCATCACTCGTACTTAAAAATTAATTTTGCATCATAACCAAAGAAGATTTCTATAATTGCTGGAAGAAAATAAGTAGCTGAAACATCAATCAAAACTTTTTTTCTTATTGTAGGGAACAAACTAATAACCCTTAGTATTATACAAAGAACTGATACACCTCTATTAAATGGACTGTTCGAGTAAGAATATAAGCATCTATGGTGTTTGTCTCTTGCTTGCTTTCCAGTTTCAGACAAACTTGTAAATATCTACTTGTATTGTTCTTGTTAAAAATAAACCCTTATACTTTGTAAGTTACCATTCTAGTTATTATTTTCAATAACTACCCCATAAAATATTACAAAAGTTCTCATTCCTACAGGATTATGGAGAAATTGGAATAATCCAAATACATCACTATTTTCTTGAAAATATTCTAACAACCAGTTTGTAATTGTACACTTAGAACTATGACATCATTGATTTTGGTAAATAAACAAAGATGGTGTTATTTTACTGCATAGTTGCAAAAATGATTTTCTTTAATTTTAAACAGTTGATAATGGAGAGTTTATTGCATGCTCTACCTGTTCACTTGCATGTTAATGAACTTCTCCAATCAAGATCAAAAGTTAGAAAAATCTTTTATGAATTCTTTTTTTTTTATAATAATTTCTTTTAGAATGTGACTGACCTTTTCTATTAATATTGAATAAATGAAGAAAGACTGAGGTGGGGGATATATTGGGTGGCAAATTTATTTTAATGATATTAGCAATTTCATTTTGAATGGATTGTTACTATGCCTTTACCGTCTTGCTTCCCTGGCCAATTAAGTTCTAATGTGGTGTATTCAGAAGCCTCTGCTCTAGACCTGCATTTGTGGATTACTTTTAAAAGCAATTGCCAAGGTGTGACGGTGAAATGTAACAAGTCAAACAAAATGGAAATATGTATGTCTTAGACAACAATTCTTTGAAAAAAGATGAATAACAAACACTATATATATATTTGATGGCTATGCAATTTCAGCCTCTCTTTAGAATGAAGTAAGACAAGCAGAAGAGGAAAAAAAAATGAAATATGAAGCGTTTTCATGACACCTCTTTTTTTTTCTTTGGCTCTTTTTCTTCTTTCATCTTTTTCTTCCTCAGCTTTTCTTTCTCTTACCCTTTCCTCATCCTTTTTTATTTTTCTTATACTTTTTCTTTCTCTCTCTACAGTGGTGCCCATATCTTACATTATGAGGAAAAAAAAAAAAAAGAATCTCCTGTGGAAAGTCAATCTTTCAAGGGCTTTCTGTCTTTGATTTCTTTCTAATGCAATCAAATACATGAAGAAATCTGTCAAACCGTGTTGAATCCAAGAAACTTTACCCAACATGCATTCTCTGTTCTTTGCCAAGAGCAATGCTTATTCCTATTTGCTTGCCACCAAGTTTTGGCTGAATTTTGCAGCATTTTTTCTTCAAGCACTTCAAGACCTGCCTAAAAGGATCAACATCTTTGTTTGCTCAAAACAGTTTTTGGTTTGTTTTCCAAAAATATAAATTACAGCACAGAACAACTTCTTTGGATCTGTTTCTTGAAATTCTATTCCTTTTTTATTCCCCACCAACATTTTTTTTTTCACTCTTTACATACTATTTGTTTCTCCTTCTTCCTCTTTTCCTCTCTGTCTTTCATTTTTCAACTGTCTCTTTTGTTGTTTTCTCTCTCTCATGTTCTCCTCTTCTCTTTCTCTCTTGTGTGTTTTCCATCTCTGCTCTCTCCCTCTCTTTCTCCCTTGTGTCATCCAACTTCTCTCAATCTTTCTGTCTCTCATGTTCTCTATCCCCTCTTTTTCTCGAGTTCTCTCACACTTCCTCTCTCTCTCTGTCGTGTTCTCTCATACTTCCTCTCTTTCTCTCTCTCATGTTCTCTCACACTTCCGCTCTTTCTCTTGTGTTCTCTCACACTTCCTCTTCTCTCTCTCTCTCTTGTGTTCTCTCACACTTCCTCTTCTCTCTCTCTCTTGTGTTCTCTCACACTTCCTCTTCTCTCTCTCTCTCTTGTGTTCTCTCACACTTCCTCTTCTCTCTCTCTCTCTTGTGTTCTCTCACACTTCCTCTTCTCTCTCTCTCTCTTGTGTTCTCTCACACTTCCTCTTCTCTCTCTCTCTCTTGTGTTCTCTCACACTTCCTCTTCTCTCTCTCTCTCTTGTGTTCTCTCACACTTCCTCTCTCTCTCTCTCTTGTGTTCTCTCACACTTCCTCTTCTCTCTCTCTCTTGTGTTCTCTCACACTTCCTCTTCTCTCTCTTGTTCTCTCACACTTCCTCTCCTCTCTCTCTCTCTTGTGTCCTTCTCTTTCCTCCCTCTTCTTCCTCTCTTTTCACCTCTTTTTTTCTCTCTCTCGCTATCACTCTCTCCTTCCCTCTTCACTTTTTCTTTTGCCTTCCTCTTTTTATACTTTTCCCTTTCCTTTTACTTTTCTACTACTTGATCAAATGCTACACATGTATTTGGTCATTCAACTTCTACTTGGCATTCAGTAGGTCTTACTACAATGACAATGTCAAACTTTGTTCATAAATACACAACTGTGATAGAAATATATATATATATATATATATATATATAAGATGATTATCTTGCAGGCTGGAAGCAGTCTGTTTTAATAACAATTGTTTTATATAGAAGATTGTTGCCTTTAATCATCAAATGTCTACTCAGCAAAATACAATTATTCTTTATAAGGATTCATATGTTGATTTGCCAATTATTTCCTTTGACTGTAAACAACTGTGGCAGTAGCTGAGATGCTTCATTTGATAAGAACAAAACACACACACTCACAGTGTTCTTCTTTCAGAAATTCCCCATCCCAACCTTTTTTCTTTTGTAATATATAAAAAAAATATCTTAGGAAGATAATCAGACTTTTTTCAAATACAATTTTGATGTGGAAGATAATTTCCAGGAATGCTTTATAAATGTTCTGAAATATTTTAAAACTGATTCTTCTCTGCTCTCTCAAAAGCCTCATTCATTTGTAGCATTCTTTTTAGAAATATATTTGAATTATGACTCTTTTTTTTTTCTATGTATTTATTTTCTCCATTTTTTTAACATTACATTTTTAATTTCAAATTCATCAAACAAAACTCTCTAGAGTTGTCCTTGATTTAAAGAGTTGAAACGCCATCCCTGAGGAAAAAACTCTTTTTTTTCCCTTTTTCTTTCTGCACAATTCATATGAAAACTTGTGAGATTCAACACTTGTCAAGGCAAGAACAATCATAAGCTTCGATTTATGCTTTTATTTGTTCACTTAAAATTTCTCTTCAGAATAAATACAATTAAATATAAAATATGTAATAGCCATTCTGAGAATAGCTTTATGGAAATTATTCTGTTCTATTAAAATGTAATGAGCTGAATAAATTCCAAGTCAACAACTGAAACACTTTAATGAATCAAAGATGAGCAAAACTCAATTTCCTCATATTTTTGGTTTTAATAAACTGACCAAATCTTTGGAGATATGATTTGGCCTTCAATAAATTTTCAAAAGAAGATACCATGATAATGATTGCTGTTTTATCTATTTGAAAAAAAATATTGTTGCAATCATTAGTTATTTTTCTGCCATAAAATGTTTGATACAGAAATGTTGCTCGGAGTTTCATATTTTAAATATTTAGTTCATCAATGTTTGAGGCTGAAGACAAATGGGTAAGCATTTGAAGAATGCAAAGGTCAAAATTCTTTATTTTGGAGACCATCTTCAAAATAATTTTTCTCCTCACTAAAAAAAATTAAAGGGCTTGTATTTCTTGCTTTTCAAACAACTTCTTTACAAAAATAACTTTTTGATTTTACTTTTCTTGTTTAAACAAATGAGTACTTAGATCGATTTCTTCTTGTCTCAGTATCGTAAATATGAGGTTTATGATACTAAATAAAGATTTTCTATATTTTATTTTTGACTATTATTTTTAAACTTTTTCTTGTTTTTCTTTTTTTTTTTTTTTAATCATTTCCTCACAGTTTTTTTCACTTACTTTTTTCTCACCTTTGCCACATTTTTTTCTTTTGATGGTTCATGAATAAAACACAATCTTTCTTAAAACTCATTCTGAAAATTCTCTGTAAAAATGGACAACTTACATCTTTGGAAATTAGCATATTTGACTTTTTTTTTTTTAAATATCTATAATTTTTAGAGGTGAACAGTCATGGAAATTTGTTGTACTTGTATTGAAGAAATATTGATCATGCAATAAGAAATATAAAGAATTTAAAGGAACTCAATGGATAAGAATTAATAGAGAAATTTCAGATAGTAAAAATGCTTTTTGTCAGAGTAAAAGACAGAGGTAAATGATTATAGAAATGACAAAGTGAATTGAAGAAATTAGGATTTAATCTGTTGTATTTGGATAATCTTTAGGCAGACTATTTGAGAATGATGATGTTAATGAAAATTGAGAGGAATGATAAAGGATGTAACTAAGAAACTTCAAAAGAAAAACATCAACCTGGCTTTTAATATTTTCATTACTTTTGCTTAACATTGATATTAACAAGTTGAACGAGTAGATTTATATGTAGAAAGAAAGTTAATTTGTTTGGGGTTCTAATAATGAAATCATGTTTCTACATAAATTGGCTGTTTCAGGGAGTTAATAATCCAATAGAAAAAGACAGTTTTCCTTGATATGAAGTCTTTCACAAATGTTCAAATAGGATAATTTACGGTAATAATTTTTTTCTTGACTTGTTTACAGAAACATTTTCATCTTGAATAAATAAGAAATGGTTTCTTCACTATTTATGCTTGACTGTGTCGATGTATTTATATTGCATTTATGTGTTGAGAGAAAAATGCAACAAAATGAATGTCTATTTACAATGGCATGTATGAAAATGATAAATCCTTAAATCCTTAGTATTGTTAGGTTTTTACATGCGAATCTTTAAATATATTTTCCAAATTTATTGTTGTAATTTGTTCTTTTATAGAGTCAGTCTTTTCACCTTCCAGCTTCATAAATCTCTTCAACTGTCCACCATTGTCATAAGAAAAACACTGCCACATGACATTGCAAGGGAGATAACTCTATAAACCAAAAGATACAGACAAAAAATTTGCAAATACATGTGGCATATTGTGTCTACCCACGGAAATAAACATTATTATGAAACCCAGCTGAATGAAATGTAGAAAAATAAAATTGCCTTCCAGGTTGATGATTGTCATAGTATATTTGAAACAAAGCCCAATAAATAAATGAGGAGACAGATCAAAAAGAAAAATCAATCTGCTACTAAAGAATATCCAAAAGAATATTTTTCTACCAGCAGACATGGTATACAGTAAATGAAAAGAACAAAATTCTATACTCAGACAGCATTCTAATCCTGACACACATATAAATACAGAAGATGAATGGTGTGAAGACCTGTAAAATACCTTCTGGTCATAAATAAACCATGCACCCTATGATGCAAAACTGTGTACGCTAATACATTTAATGTGTAAAAGTAATCATTTTTATTAATTTCCTTGAAAGTAATTCATGTAGATTTGGGCAGTGCAACCTGCAGTTATTTGCCTTTTCTTTTTCCATGTATATTTGTGGCCATCATCTCTTTTATTCATTTGGCATATATTTTTGGCTGCCTTTTCAGCAGCCTTGGTTATTTCTGCACTGAATCGTATTTAAAAAAAAAAAAAATGCCTTCTTCTATTTTGTTGTTTTTGTGTTCAGTCTGTCTACATGGCCAATTTTAGCCCAGTGTGTATATATATATATATATATATATATATATATACAGATATAGACTTACAGACTCCCTGCTCACCACTACCACGTCCAACTGTAAGTGCAGACACATACACAAGCTCTTTTACTCCTTCACATCTCTATATAAGTATCTGCACCTATAGCAATATTTTCTTTCTCTTTTCCTAATATATATATATATGTATGTATGTATGTATGTATGTGTGAGGAAAAATAGGGATGACTCTGCCATGGTCACACATTCCTTTCTAATTTATTATTTTCATTGTTTTTTTTTCCAGTCTGTCTGCTAGTGTCTGTTGTGATCGGCTTCACTATCATGCTCCTTAGTGGTAGCCTGCCCTGGATGTGGCTCCAGCCGGCACCAAACACCAAGACTCGTATCCTTGACTTCTTCACTGGCAAATATCCAGCTCCACAGTCCTGCAAAGTCACCTGGGACTGGAAAGAGCCAGAGGTGGTGGGAAAAACAATGACTTTCACAGTACAGGTAGGTCCTTTCTTTTCTTTCTTTTTTTCCAATACTGACTTTTGGATCAACGCCAAGATAGTGGAAATGAAGGTACTGATAGCTGTTGTTGCTTTTGTAATTACCATTTCTATAGACTATATTCCATCAGCTGTTTGTCTACCTTTTTGATAAGGATGACTTGTTACTTAACATTCTAGCTCTCACATTGGGACTTAATTTACAGCTCCAATTAATATCTAAAACACGAGGAAAGTTGTGAAACTTATATTAATGTATATTTTAGAGTTCCTATGACAGTGAAGATTTTTTATCTGCTGTTATTCTGCAAGGAAATACCTAAGGATGAAAGTTATTCTGCAAGGAATTAGTATTTATTGCATGCAAAGAACAATGCAAATTTTTATTATGACCAACTTCTAGCAGGGAGGAAGAAGATTGGAGAAATTTCTTAATACAAATCTCATATTTCACAAGATACTTAAACTAGTAGCTTTTTCTTTGCTGTGTTTATTGCATCATTTTAACCAATGTGTTCTTTCTCAGCAGTATAATTAATTTCATAGATTTTTCTTTAATTGATGGTCTTAGAATTGAACATCCAATATTACTGCAGACAGAGTAAAAAAAAAAAATATTTGCTATTCTCCTAAATAGAACAACTTTTTTTATATTCATTTTACCAAAACATATGTGATTTTTGGTTATGAAAGACCCTTGCAGTGTTTTTTTTTTACTAAGTTTGTTTATCTATGCAAACTTGTATTCTGTACTGAGCATAATTAGTGAATTTTTGTCTGGCTTATATATGCACTTTTCTTCTTTACTCAAATCTCTAAATGGAATAAACTTGAAGAGAGCCAAAGAATTTATGAGTTGAAATATTGTGATAAAAATAGCAACAATGAGGATAATAATGACAATGATATTTCAAAATGTTAAACAATTATTTATCAACCAACCCATATTGGCAAGCAACAGTGACTTGGCAATAGGAATTTCTCAGCATGATGTAGTGCTTAATGAGCTCGTATTTTTGGCTGTTGCCACTAAGTAGTGAGTTTGATCTTCACTAAAGTTATTATTTTACTAAGCTTATCTTAGTAGAATAATAATTACTGGGTTATTTCAGGTGTCTACATCAAAGAAATAATCAGCAACCAACTCTAGGATCCTTTAATGTCAATCAGTGAAAAAAAAACAAAATCTTTCTTTTGAAAAGTG